TTGTTTTACTCATCTCCTATGTCTCCAGAACCTAAGATTCTTCCCTTGTTGTTATCTTCATATGTTAGGTGACCTCCAGTCTTTAATCCCAGTTTTTGAAATTTGGAAATATCACCTGTCATATGCCTTGAGCATCCACTGTCCAAGTACCAAAGTGATTCTTGCTGCTGCTCCTGAAAAATCAAGCATCAAGTATTTGGTACCCTTAAATAATTTGGGTCCTTAGTGGTCAAGTTTTCTGTTTAACATATTTTGGAACCCATCTCATTTTACCCTGTGGCACAAGATGTTTTCTAATATGACAAAATTTTACAGTATTCCCTTTTTTCATACAATAGTGACAAGATGAGAAGGGAGATGTTGTTGATTTTCTGAAAGAGAAGAAATTCAAATACCTTTTAGTTTTAACCCAAACTTAGGTTTATAACCAATGCCAGTATGATCAAAAACACAGGTTTGAGACCCAAGAAGTATATCTAAATTTGCTTTACCTTGAGTAAACTTAGATAAAGTTTTAATCAAATACTCAACCTTTTTCTGCAGAGAGATACACTTTTCACAATCTTTGTTAGCAGCAGCATTATCAGAAGATGAATTATTGTAGATTATTTCAAGATGTTCCATATCTATTTTGTTTTCTAATAATTCTTCTTCCAGAACTTTAACCATATTCTCTAACCAGTTATTTAGTCCTTTTAACCGATTATTTGTATAGGATAAATTCTTAGCTTCATCATGCATTTCATTGAAAGCAGTTAATAATGTGCTGTAATTCATTTCATTCTCTATGCGAGTTGAACGTACACGAGATGAAGAAGATTCATAGCCAGCCATTAAGCATAGATTCACTTCTTCACTTTCAGATCCAGAACTTGAGGATGAATCATTGTCTTGCCAGGCTATGTAAGCCTTCTTCCCTTTATACTTCATATCTTTCTTGTTTTGATTCTTGGATTTTTTCTTGACAGTCACTTCTTATATGTCCTTGCGTACCACAAGAATAACAAGTATAAGTATTTTGAAGAGAATCAGTTCTTTTATCATTGTACCTTTTAATCTGGCCAATTCTGTTCTTCTTCTTAAGAAATTTCCCAAACTTCTTAACCAACAAATTAAGATTCTTAGATCCTTCTTCATCAGAGTCACTACTTTCTTCAATTGTCTTGAGAACAATGTTTCTGCTTTTCTTTTCTGCATTTTCTTGTTCTTTAAACCTGTTGATCTCCAACTCGTGTTCCCTTAGCTTACCAAACAATGAGGCAATAGTCATCTCAGTTAAGTCTCTTGATTCTGATATGGTTGTCACCTTTGGTTGCCAAGATCTGTCCAAACAATTTAGGATTTTGATGTTTAACTCTTCCTTGTCAAACGTCTTGCCTAATCCAATTAGATGGTTGACTATATGTGTGAATCTTTTCTGCACATCTGCAATGGTTTCACCTTGCTGCATTTTGAACAATTCATAATCTCTGATTAATTCATGTTTCCTTGCCCTTTTCACATCAGAGGTACCTTCGTGAGTAACTTCTAGAATCTCCCACATTTCTTTGGCAGAGGCACATTGAGAAACCTTGAAAAACTCATCAAGATTTAAGGCAGAGGTAATAATGTTCTTAGCAGCATAGTCATATTGAACTTTCCTATTTTCTGCATCAGTTAGGTCAGCCCAGTCTTTTTCAACAATTTTACCATCCACTGTATGAGTTGGTTTGAAAGGACCATTAACAATTGTATCCCAAATACCCCTATCAAGAGATTCAATAAAGATTTTCATTCTAACATTCCAGAAGGAATAATTCACACCAGAAAATAGAGGAGGCTTATTAATGGAGGCTCCTTCAGAAAAATTCATCTTTCCCTCAGCCATTTAAACTTTCTTGGACCGAATTCTTCAGTAACTTACAAGAACCAGCTCTGATACCAATTGTAAGAATTAATAGTTGAGTTCAAGAGGGGGGGTGAATTGAACTTTGAAACCTTTTTCAAAAAATGCTTTCTTTGTGGAAGAATGATTAATCTTTATCCAATCTTTTATTAGGTAGATTTGGTTTTTAACAAAGCAAGAATATAAACCCGAAATGAAAAGAGATAAATGCAGAAATACAACTCAAGAGTTTATACTGGTTCACTCTACCCAAGAGCTACATCCAATTCTTGACAAATCTATCAAGTTCCACTAATACCAAGTGAAAATACAAACCAGTTGATACAAACCAATCTACCCAAGATCTATCTTACAACACCACAAGATGGACTCTTGAAAAACCACCCAGCAACCAAACCCAGTCGTTGTAACCAGTGCAGATTCAAACCCAATCTACACAATTAAAATTCGTACAAGTATTGAAAAGAATAAACCTGGACTGTAGCTTTTACAATATAGAAGTCCATAAGCAAATTTTCTAACACAGAACTTTCTCTCTTGAAGATCTTTCAACAATCTTGATCAAAGCGCCTTATGATATGAATGCTCAGAAAAACACACGAATATGAGAGCTCCAAGATTGCTTTTAATCGATTTCTAAATTGTGTTTTTGAAAGAGAAATCAAAACTGTATTTATAGATTAAAAGAGAAAAACAGACAGTTTCAATCGATTAAAATGATGTTTTAATCTATTGATTTCATTTAAAACTCTTTCAATCGATTAATTCGAGCTTTTAATGGATTAAAACTGCTAGAAGAAAAAACGGTAGCTCTCTGTTTTAACAGATTAAAATTCATTTTAACAGATTAAAAATCTGAGATACTTAAAATGAAAAAATGGTAGCTCTCTGTTCTAAAAAATTAAAACTCATTTTAACATATTAAAAATCTGAGATACTTAAAATGAAAAAATGGTAGATCTCTGTTTTAACATATTAAAACAAATTTTAACAGATTAAAAATCGAGGTACTTAAAATGCGAATTATGACTTAGAACATTTTAATATATTGATTTATCATTTTAACAGATTAATACTGCGAAACCCTTAACATAAAAAAAACATCAACAACATTTTAATCTGTTGATTTTACAGTTTAATCAATTAAAATATTGATTGTATATATACATTTCCTATTTTAAGTGATTTTAACAGATTAAAACTACTTTTTAACAGATTAAAAAACTCAGTTTGTTCTTTCAAAGCTTAAATATTAGTTTTTCATGAAGTATGATAAATTCTATGAAATGCAACAGTTATAGGTGCTTATCACAAGATATACTGTAATTATCAAGAGATTAAATTTCATACCTATAACCTATCTACCTACACACCCACAAAATGAACTTTATATGTCTTCATCAAATCCAACAAGTGCTTCAAATTATGTCTAAGTATTAAAATAGTGCTATTGATCAACAAATAAGCCCAAGATAAGTGGGATTAACATCACTAAACATGCATTAAAATGCTCTTATCAACCAGCAATTACAACATCAATGATTGAGGGCACACAATGCACAACCCAGTGTAATTATGGCCTTTTCTTATTTTTCTAACTTCAGAACTTGGAAACCTTATATTCTCATACAACAACCATTTAACTTATAACATTAAATTTAATGAATACGTCAAATCTAATTTCAAGGTGGTCTTTTAGATTAGAAACATTGTTCTGACAAGTGGGGTTGCAAGGACAATTGCAATCTACATGGCTGAAAGGGCTTCGATCATAAAACCAGTCCCCTGCTGCCTTACCAATTATCTGCATAATGCCATGAATATACAAGTTAGCTTTTTATGGATATAAAAGCATGTAATGATAACAACAATAATAATATCACACAAAAATGCTTATATTCTAGAAATGGGAGAAACGAATGCAGCATCTTACTGTATTGGCAAGATGTGGTGAGTCAGCTTTAAACCATGTCTCCATTGATAATGTTTGACAATGGGTGAAGCAAGAGTCTATGAACATTCCTTTAGATGGAGTGTCTCCAACCACACTCAATGCCTTTTCAAATTCTTCCTTGAAACCTGAAATCACAAAACTGTACTTTCATTCAAATGGTAAAAGATGTTGACTGAGAATTACCCTTCTACAAGTTTTTAGTTTTTTTCATGTCAATGTTCTTAATTTTGTTTGTGAACAAGTTACATATATCAAGTGGTGACAGAGGCAGGTCAAATTTTACACTGCTTTCAAGGACTAATTAGAGCATAGTGAGATTCTTTTATGTGTAACATTTTTTATTATACACAAGTTATAAAGAAGGGAAACTGTTCACCTTGTAGTATACTTAGTTTATCAGATGAGCAGCTTCTTAAATCAAGCTTGCAACTATGCCATTATGTAGAGTAATTTTGGCTCAAGTTCTGATAAAAATCCTGTGAACATTACTTAACAACCAGGTATCAGACAGGACACCATCTTAACAAACAATAATGCAGGACACCATCTCAACAAATAATATCACATGTTTTAATAATAATAATGTTAAACAGGGAGATTAACACAATTGGTACAAGTAGCAGCCAGCACAACCAAGAAACTTAACGACCCCCATTTAAACTAAACCCGTCAGAAATAACCAACATAATCAAATCGAAGCATAATGCACAATCAAATAAACAGAATGAAACCGCACTGGAACCACATGCCTCGACTTGGATACAACCACACAAACCAACATTTAACATATCCCACTTAGAAACAACAACATTAAGCAAAGGGGTCAAAATCAACAAGGTTAAACCATCAGAAACAAAACCCTCAATCAGAAATGCAATATCAGGCGGAAACTTAAAACAAATCAAGAAAAACAGAGACCCAAAACATGGATCCCGATCCTCGAGTTCAACCTCTACAGGGGGGTTGGCCTGTGACTTCTGCTTTGAGGAAAGGACTCGACACTGTTCCAAGGATGCCACCCACGACAACCACGGTGTGAATGGGAAGGTGGGTCATAGAGAGGTGTGAATAGGGGCGCAAATTGCGTTCGTTGTGGGGTTTCCGAGGTATGGTTCGCAGTGGCACGATTGAGGTGGCAGCGGAGGGGAATGCGAAAGGATTTTAGGGATGAAGGCAGTCGTGTAAGTGGCTAGGGCTGGTGCGATGGTGGCGGTTAGCTACGATGAGATGGAGGAGCGGTGGTGATTTGTGGTGGGAAAGATTAGAGAGGCTGGAGATGGGGATGGTCGTGTTGGTCTCCCGACGATTTGGGGGAGTGATTGTGGCGGGCTTATGGTGGTCGTTTGGTGGTGTTGTGAGTCGCAGTGGAGGAGCTGCGGCCGGAGTTGAATAGGGGTTTCGCGGGCTCCAATGAAGGGTTGAGAAGGGAGCTGGAGTGGTGCTGGCCGTGGTTGGAGGTGATTGGCAAGGTGCGGGTGGCGCGATAAGGCTGAAAGGGAAAAGGAGAAGTGAAGGTGTAGGGAGAGTGGGGGCTACTACGCGGGGAAAAAGAGGGATTGAGGAAGAGTGGAAGCAGGGATCTCTTGGGGGAACAGTGAGACGCATGAGTGAAGGGGAAAATGAAGGTGATGACCCAAAATTTAGCTTAAAATTAGGTCACTCAACGCATAACATGGGTTGGAACTTAAAAACTTTTTTTTTATAAAAGTAATTATTATATATATTTTTTATTTTATAAAAATAATTAATAAAATAATTTTTTTTTCTTTTTTTAGGTGTAAAAATGTTGTAGAGGAAATTATATTTTTTTCAATCATATATTTTTCTTCTTCTTTTTTTAATTAGGAAAATTGAAATCATTATTTTTTTATTTTTTAACCCTTCTTTTTTTCTTTTTTCATATTTTAAGAACAAATGTTATTATTCATTATCATTATCTTATTTTTATCTACCTGAGCGAAATTGAGTGTTGACGGTGGAGAGAATGAGTTAACTGGAAATGGGGTGGGTGTTAGTTGTTTAGGGCGCAGAGGAGCAAAGACAGGGAAAAGAAGAATGATGGATGGTGTGGTGGTAACGGTGGTGACGGTGAGCTAGGGTGAGATGGATGCTTGCGAGTATGACAAGGTGGTGCAGTGGGCGTACTTGGGTGATTGGTTGGTGAGGGTGGCTGGACAACGGGGAATCGAGGTGCAGTGATTCCATGATGTGATGATTTGGGAGAATTTGATATGTGGTGAGGTAAAAAAGGAGATTTTTAGGTTAAACTAAAATTAGGGCAATTAAGTTATTATCATGGTTAAAGCCCAAAAAGTATATATATATATATATATATATATATATATATATATATATATATTTATTTATTTTTAATTTATTAATATTATCAAATTTTAGCTTAATAATTAAAAAAATTACCAATAATTTAAATTTTAATAATTCTATAGTTTTATATAATTATTAATATAAATTTAATTTTTCAATAACTCATAATATTAACACATTTATTAAATTAAAATTCTTTACTTTAATTAATTATTTTAAAAAAAATTTAACGATTTTTTTCAAATAAAAACAATAAAACTTAAAATTATTTTCTAATTAAATCTTCACATAATACTATATTATATTATTATGTTTAATTAAATTTTAAAATAAGTTCACTTAATCTTTACACTTTATATAAAAATGACTAATATAAACTTAAAATATTTATCCAACTATTAAATTATCCAAGATATTAATATAAATTTGAAATATCAATTCAAGTAATTAAAATAATTTTAATTTTTTTATAAATACATTGAAATATATTTTTATTAACATACAAGTAATATATATATATAAAAGAGACTAAATTAATAATTAATTTAATTATTGATTCGATGACTAAATCGATGATCAAATCAGTGATAGATTCGAGTGAATGAATCAGTGATCGATTTGGTGACTAATTTAATAATTAATTTTAATTCTTTTATTCACATGGTAAATTAAAAAATCAAATCAAATAATTATATTACTAAATTATTTAATAAGTTAGTAAACTATTTTTTTTTAATTTTTATAATGTTATTAAAAATGTTATCAATTATTTTAAATTATTAAGTAGATTTATATTTAATATATTATTAAAATATTTGAAAAATATATTTATATAAATGAAAAATAGTCACCAATTTAGAGATTATTTGTTTAATGACTAAAATTTTAGTCACTAAATTAGTTACTAAATATAAAAAAAGAAATCGAGTCACTAATTCGATTACTTATTAGTAATCGAATTTTTCGATCACTATAAACCATTTTTCTAGTAGTGACCGAATCGATGATCGAATCAGATGATCGATTTTCATGATTGAAACTTTAGTCACTAAATATAAAAAGGGAAATCGATCATCGATTCGGTTACTATCGATGATCGAATTTTTCGATCACTATTAATCATTTTTCTAGTAGTAATTATATTATCATTTAATAGAAAAACTTGCGAAAAGTTTTAAAAAGGGAAAGTTTTTATAAGAAACCAATTCACCCCCCTCTTAGTTTTTGTCTCAAACGCAAAACATTTCACTGCGCGATACCAACAAATATGAGTTGTTCAAAATGCAAATTGGAGAGAGCATTGTAGATGTATAGAAATGCTTTACCCACATAATCAATCATCTAATGGGTCTAGGTAAGACTTTTGATAAAGAGGAATTGAATATCAAAGTTCTGAAATGTCTTGACAGGTCATGGTAGCCCAAGGTCACAGCAATTTCAGAGTCAAAAGATTTATCTATCATGACAACAACCTCCTTATTTGGTAAGCTCAGAGAACATGAGATGGAAATTAATAGGTTCAATGAGCAATAGATTTCTAAAAAGAAAGGAAAGAGCATAACACTAAAAGATGAAGGAAAAGATAAAGAATATGAAGAAGAAAGTGAGAATCTTGGTCTACTGGTAAAGAAATTCAACAGGTTTCTGAAGAAAAAGATTCAAGATAAAGAAAGACAGAAAATGTATGGAAAGAAATCTGATTCTTTTAACTATAAATGTTATGGTTGTGGTAAGCAGGGTCATCTAAGAAGGGAATGCCCAAAAAAGAATAAGCACAATGATAAGAAAGAAGAAAAGATAAAAAGGAGAGCATACATAGCTTGGGATGACAATAATACCTCATCAATAGAAAATTTTGATGATGAAGAAGCTAACTTGTGCTTGATGGCTAATTAGAATTTCTCAACCAAAAGTGTAAGTTCTACTTCTTCTACAAATTTTATGAATTACAAATCATTACAAGATGCCTTTAATGAGATGCATGAAGAAGCCAAGAAACTTGAAAAAGAAAACATAAGATTAAAAGGAAGGTTGAAACTCTTGAAAAGAAAATACTTGAGGATGAAACTGATCTTGATTACTTGAAATTAATCCATGATAATTTTGATTACTTGTTCTTGATAAAACTGGTATTAGATTTACATCTGGCATTGGATCATCTTTCATTAAATGTTTCTATTGCATGAAAACAGGTCACTCTGTTAAATTCTGTAGAATAAGAAATATGTTGTACCAAAAGGAAGATTCAAGTGGGTTCCAAAAATTCATTTCAAATAACTTAATAGGACCCTATTATCATCAAAGGGTACCAAATATTGAAAATTTCTTTTGCAGGAACAATAATCTGAAGATCTCTTGGTACCTAGACAACAAATTTGTATGATGGATATGAAAAAAAAGGAATAAAGTCATGGTATGATCTATTTTAACTAATACAAAACAATTTTAATCGATTGAAATACTGAAAACAGCAAAAATGTTTCTATTTTAATCGATTAGATTTTCAAAATAATCAATTAAATTCATTAACAAAAGATTTCAAAAAGGAATTCGTACTATTTTAATTGATTATTTCTAACTTTAATCGATTAAAATCATTTACAGAGAGGATCACATAGGCTATATATCCTGTTTTTAATCGATTATTTCTCAAATTAATCGATTAAAAGCTCAAGGTTATAGAACTGTATCGATTAAAAGTGATTTACAATCAATTAATTTCACTGTAATTGTGCGATTCTTTTTTATTTATTGTTTAATCTTGGTATGTAAGTATTTACCAATATATTCTTTTCAAATGTCATGTGACTGTTTGGATTAAATCTAGCATTCTAAAAATATAATTGACTAGACATTAAGGATCATGAAATCCTTTTTATAAGAACTGAAACAATCGGCTAACAAATTCATAAAACCTCTTGCTTATGATTGCTTTTATAAGATTATATCTGAATTGGGAAATCTGAATGCATCAAACATTACATATCACATTTTCTGAATGTTTTAATTGATATAAAATAGCTTTAATTGATTAATCTCATTTATAATGAGACTATTCGTATTGATTTAATCGATTACATGTTCTCATATTTTTAGAATACATATGTCATTCCTGTTTTAAACGATTAAAACAAAATTAGTATTAATTAAAATCATTAAACAGCTCAAATTTAATCATTAAACGATTATGCTATGTTTTTAATTCATTATTATTCTAAGATTCAAAGTAAAGGTTTTATTTAATGGTTGTTCCTATAACATGCTACTAAAGCAAGGTTCCCTTATCTTTACATGTATCTATTGCGTTCACTGCAAACGTGTTAAGGAAGATAAGATTGAATCAACTTTACTTGTCCTTGAAAGAATAATAAATTTCATCTTTCTTTGGTTTACTACCTACATATATTGTTAAATCAACATTTCCACATCTGTTTCATACCTTCTCTCCCTATTTTGGATGAACTCAAAGGGGGAGAAATTTATATTAAATACTCACTAATCTGTATATCCAAGTGTTTTCTTTTGCAGATCAAGATCTTTCAAAGAGATTCAAAAGAGGTATTTGTCTTCATCAAATAGGGAGAGACTGAAAGTGATGAAAATCTTATTAAACCATGTGATAGATTGAAGATCTTAATGATTTGATGAAGTCAAAGGCTACTTGCGTTAAAGGGTAGAGTGATTAGTGAGTCAGCATTAATATTAATAGGTATAATCATTCTTATGTCTCTGCTACATGAAGATTATTCATTTTGGAAGAATTTGAAAATTCCTCTTAAAAGTTTTTTATCTGTTAAAAATCGAATTAATCGATTAATATGATCCTAAGAAATAGTTATAACTAATACTCTTTAAGGTTAATCGATTAAAATAAGCTAGAAACATTCCTAACAATATTTTAACTAATATAACTTCGAGTTAATTTATTAAAACCACTTGAAATGTTTTGAAAAGTATTTTGTCATTATTTTAAGCTGATATAACTTCGAATTAATCGATTAAAATCACTTGAGAAGTTTTGAAAAATGTTCTATCGAGTATTTTAATTGTCTGTAACTTCAAATTAATCGATTAAAACCACTTGAAATATTTTGAAAAGTGTTCTCTCGATATTTTAACTAATATAACTTCAAATTAATCGATTAAAACAACTTAAAGGAAATTTTTGTCAAATGTTTCAATCAATTAAATCAGGCTTTCATCGGTTAAAATCACTTATGAAGTTTTGAGAAAATGTTTGGCAGAATTAAATCTTGATTATTAAATCTTGATTAATCGAT